ATTTATGCCTTTCCGAAAATCCTAGCTAACCTTTTTTGTACCCAAAACGACATTTTTATCTCTTCGAAAACAACAGGCATTAATTTTCCCATATGGATTAAACACTACAGTCAACTCTCGCCTTGCGGACACCTCGCTATTACGGACAGCAGCTAAATCCCTGGCGAAAGTTACAGACGTTTTACTGAAACAAACTCCCGCTATTACAGACTCCCGCTATTACGGACTTACGGACACTGGATTCGGTCCCGACGTCACAATTTCATTGCTTTCACTCTCGTTATAGCGGACACCGAGCGGCAACTTTGAACATTTGCACACATTTGAAATCTACTTTTTCTGCTTTTTGTCATTGACTTTGTCTTTTTTGGGGAGTTTCCGCTTCTTCTGTTGGCCATCAACTAAAATTCATTCTTCTCTTAATTCTCTCAATGCCCTCTTTGCAGTCTCACTGCCATTAATAAGTTCGTCCAGTCTGTCCAACTGTAAATATGTATAGGTTTTCAAATAAAATATTCTCGTAGCCTGCTATTACGGACTCTCGCTATAAATACGGACACCAAATCGCGGTCCCGAGGGTGTCCGTACTAACGGGAGTTGACTGTACTTGTAATTACAGGACATTTGGATTAATTGTTCTAGGAACTGAAATCATTTCGTCATATGATCAACAGCTGATGGGGAATATTTACCCGTAACGAAATTGTCAGTTTCGCTGCTGTTGTTGTTGAGGTACATTTGGTTGAACATCGCTGAAGTTAGTAAGAAACAGTCCCAGTTCTATGTTTCATGTTTCGAGTATGCACTCGTCGGAACAATTATCAACAACACATGTGAGGAAATTAAACATGTAAAGTGCAATCATATTTTCTTGATGTTAATGAGAAATAAAACAATGGTAATTCTTATTCTCATTATTTCATTCATGAAATATCAAAATCGTCTTTGCTTGATTATTTTGCATGCAAGACGCCATGACTGAATTCGAATGAAAGAATGATCAGAATGAATGGATGGATTTATAGGAGGATGAATGAATGCTAATTGAGGAGACTGACAACATGCTAAACTATAAAGCTATTACAACATTCGAATACTAACTCAATAAATTGGGTTGCGATCCACTAAAAGCAGCTAAAACAATAAATTTGATTCATGACCATAAGTGAAATATCGTTCAGCCTTGCTCAGCAGCATTTTTAGTGACGCAAGGATTATATTAGTCGTCATTGAACTGGATAAACGCGTTTCTTTGTTTAACATTTCCATGGCAACGTTAAAACAAACAGCAACTCTGTTAGGATGCAGATTAATCCCACGTGGTCCATGTTTTTCTTGTATACGATTTGCTCTTCACTGACATGTCCAGCTTCTAATAAAATCGGATATAACGTTCACCCACTTCACTGACCTAGTCACATTCGCAAATCTAGGTAATCTATTGAATGCTCAGTGACCCAATAATCACTTGATACCGATAGACCCTTGAATCAGTGAAGAGTTTCATCAGAATAATTTAACCATATCTTATGAGGTCACTTTCGACTAACAGATCTAGAATCTGTTCAGAGTCTTGACTAATATTTAGGCTATATTTTTAATAAGTCTTATCAGTCGAGTGTATAGGTGCCAAGTCGTTCAAACTGTCTTAACAAGCGGAAATGACGATTTTGAATAAGATTGTATGAGAGTCAGTGTAATTATGTCATATGTTATTATGTCTATACAGGTGACCTGTCACAGGTTGCTTTGATCGCCCAATTGCGTACCGATACACCTTTTTGTTTACTGACAAGAAGTTCTGCTGCAGCCAAAACGTACCTTAACTTTTAAAAATGTTTTCCTCCAGAGAGTTCATCACAACTAAGACAAATACACAAGCGAAATATGGACGTTTTAAAGATTTTATGGATTGCAATGTGGTACATGATGGCAATCGGTTTAGCCATGTCGTTACCAATACAAGGTTTGTAATAATGTGTCGTTTTTGTCTAAAATCACGTCTTCCATGGTCCACTGGTGGACGTCTTCCGGTCACAGACAAAAATTTGCTGAACCGCAGACCGCACGGTTTAGAAATTTAACAAGAGTAAAATATTTGGTTCGTTGCAAAAGGTCATATCTGAGCAGTTTGGCTCACTAGTTCACTCGTTTGAGTCTGATGAAACACTCGCAAAGTTAAACCCAACTTTTATTTCTCTACAATGTTGACCTAAATTATCATATTGATGGCACAAACCAAGTGATCGATTCAGTTTAATATTGGTTCACTGAATGGACGACTTGAAAATGAATGCTCGTTTTACAACTTTCACCAACACTACTATAAAGTTCTTCACTTAAATTTTACAGACACTTCTTTCTTTAAACCGGTTTATAGCACTCGACTTGGCAGGGACAAATTACTATCCCAGTGGTCTTTTAGTGCTGTAACTTTTTCATGGCCATGTGATCTATCACCGCATAAAGCTAAATCAATCTTTTTTTACATGTACAAATGTCGAGGTTTTACAGTAGAATATTCCGAGCACCACCGCCGTATTCATGCTTTAGGCGGGTACCAATTTTGAAACAATTTATTAACCTGTATTCTGTGTTGGATATATATATATCAATTTTGAATTGTCTCAGCGATCGATCACAATAACCATGCAGTTGTTATTTTCTGCTCGTCCATGTTAGACCACTGGTCCTCACGACAGTTCGACAGGATATCGTCAACTGAATATCTCTGTTTACGCGAGATCATGTGGTTTCCATGGAAACTAAGGCCAATCAATGTCTCTAGAAATGGCGGGTTCTAAATTAAGACGAGATTTCTCTATATATCAAGCTCTGGGTATCATATAATTAGTATCATTATTTGCTGTTGACAATTGATTTTTTATAGATGATGCTGGACCAATTCCCCTTATCAGACCTCGAGGCAGGCCAAATCCAAAGCTTTGGGCAGCGGTACGAAAGTTAATGGTACGTTATTTTAATGGCTATTTTACAAATAATGGACTTATGACCGTAATTACATTTAACTTGGTCTACAATTGGAGAGCTCTTCAGTGTAACGCGTGCTATTACTAATTCTAGAAAATGTGTTCACCAGTGATTGCACAATACCGGGACTGGATACAGCTTGAGCAATTCCGAGTTGCCTTTTGCCTCTATTTCAAAACGAGTCCAAGTGCGAAATCTTTCATAGGTAAATGAGTTTTACTCACAAGTTCATTCAAATGCAAATCGAACTCATTTTCATTAAAGGTTTCGCTCTTGGACTCGTTTTGAAACAGAGGCAAAAGACAACTCGGAAATGGCCTATTACACACTCGGACATGTACGAGCCAGCATGCATGATCGTGTAATAAGTCAGGGATATATACTGAGTCAATAAAATTCTAATAATTCAAGCCCGATCTTTTACATTGTGTCAGAAGACAAGTAGGATACGAACCCACGCTTCCATTCGGATGACAGGTTATCAGCCAATCAGATGCAAGCCCATAGCTCATAAAAAATATTTAGTTGACTTACCCAACTTTTCTCGTTCTTATCACAGTTGTTGTGGTTTATTCTTTTTTATTGACCTTCTTCGTTATCATAGATTTGGCAAAAGGAAGACATAATCACATGCCAACATCTTATATATCCTCGTTTTACCCTAAACTCCTTCGGTTCTATTTGCAGATTAAATTGAAGAACCCTCATTGATATGTTTTGGATCGGCAGTGAGGAAATCAAGGTAAATAGCAATTATTCCATAGTAAGCAATAACCATCATTTTATTTTTTGGCAGATGTGTCTTTCTTTTCCACATCACCAACATGTTCTAAATTTAACAATGATGGTACTCTTTGTCACCCCTTTATGTAAAACATTTCTACATGGTACTCATCTGAATAATAATTTAAACAGCCGCTATACTTATTTCTTTGTCACTGCGCGTGCCTGTTTCCAACAAAGGTCCAAGTTTCGATGGTTCATAACTAGGGAAAAACTTGGTATTTTTTTCATTCCATTCAATGAAGTGAACTTCTTCTAACACATACAGCAAATATACGTATTTGTTTTAACTTTTCCTGAGATGAAAGCTTTAATTTAAGCTTATCAAAACTGGATAACTCAGTTATAATTAGTTTTTATACTTTACCTGATACTAACCTTTGGTTTTTGCCCTTTAGTTACCTTAAAACATAGCCAGCGGAATACGAAACAACTCAGAGGCATGGATAATGGTTCACTGATGATTGAGGACTAAATTGGAAATCATACTCGAACCTTCCGACCAGCCCCAACTGGAGCAGTGAAACATCAACTGGTATCACGATTCTTCAATTATATTCCACTGAGTGGCCGAGAAAAGTTGGCAAATTGCGAGACGTTTAGAGTAGCTGTTACAAGAATCTAATCATGGCTTAACTCGAGGTCACGAAGAAGCAGACGTACCTGCAGGATGTTAGTCTAAACTCGAACCAGAAAACCAGAAGTATGGACTTCTGTTTAATAAGAAACCACTGAGAATTGTATTGATCTGATTTTACTATTCAGTATAAATCAATACGTAATAGTTGGAAATGTCATATATTTTCGAAGAAAATAATTGGTACAATAATGATCGCTGTTTACAATAGTTTCTTGCGATGGTGCTAATGAAATTGCATAATAAATTACATTACATTCTTTACTTGTGTCTTTACTTGCACCCCCTCCCCCCTCGTACTTTTTTGCTCTCGCCCCAATTTTCGCGCGGCCAGAATGCCGAAAAAGCTCTTCGTTCGCGGAAAAGCTCTTCGTTCGTACAGGAACGCTTGCTACGCAGGCTTGTTACGTGCCTATGAGGATGCTAGTATAGCTATAGGGCAATGCGCAGGAGAAATTAAACTGTTATGATCGTCAGTAAAATGTAATGTAGTTAAGTACAGCCGTGCAACTATTCTTGATGAAATGAATGATATGATTCTCGCAGTGGGTAAGCAATTGCTTTCTTTAGCCAAATGCTTTTTTAATCAAGGCTACAGCGGCTTTCGAACCCTTGACATCCGCGATATCGGTGCGATGTTCTACCAACTGAGCCATGAAACCTTGATACGTTGGGAGAAGGTTACATTGTAGGTTCTAATATCTCGCATATGAGTGGTATAACTGCGTATTAAAGATAAAATTAATGAAATGAACCTCGTAGTAAGCAATTGTTTTTTTAAGCCTGAAAAAAAAAAATGATGACTACAAATCAACTGCTTAAAATTGCTTATACATTGCAAGGATCATTTTATTAATTCAAGTCATCTTTAATCCGCAGTTCCATGTACGTCTTTCATATTAATTTTCATTACGTCGTAAATATTGTAGTATAAGAAAGTCTTGTATTGCAAATGTCTTTGTTTTGTGTTTCGTCTCAATGAATAAAATCGTGACACCCAACGATCGAGAGAAGTGACAGGAACTATGAACAATTTTATGATTTAGTCATTTTCAAATTTTAATTAATAAACATATTGCGGGCCAGAGTGAGGTCTGAGGCAGCCCAAAATGTTATATACAGGAATTTATCGACCTCGATTCAAATGAGTTTTGCTTCCTCGGAAAATTAAGAATAACTGACGTACATTAAAATTACAGGGAACATTTAATGAACTAATTAAACTAACGCTATTTCTTTGCTTATAGAACAAGCTCAAGTTATTAACAAGAAGTTGAAAATGTACAGTTTTAATCAATTGGAGCTTACTATTTATTGATGTTTACTAAAGTGTAAAATAGATAACTGATTATACTCGCTCACGTGAAACGTCCAGAAAAACAACAACTGTATATTTGAAAGTACAACTGAAAAGTGTTCTATCCCGAAGGTGGAAACCAATCCGCCTCAACAGAACAGTGATTCAGTAGTACTTTACTGTTGTTAAAATCCTCCAAGGACCTTTTTCTGCAGTCATTACCCAAAAAACTCTTTCTGTTTACAAAAGGCGGCCGCGCACGCAACTATCCTTGACCTTTGTAAATTTTCTGTGATATTTATCGATGGGCCATTTCATTTGCCTTTTGCTTCTGTTTTAAAACGAATCCTGTTGCGAAAATGAGTTGGATTTGCATACAAATGAACATGCAAGTAAAACTCGTCGTTGTGCACCAGGACTCGTTTTGAAACAGAGGCAAAGACAACTTGGAAATGGTCTATTGTCAAATAGACATGTACCACGTGACTAACTTTCACCAATGATCCGACAGAAAAAATATTAATTAACAAATATTATACCTTAAAATACTACAGTAACGCGCTGTAAGGCCTGATGATCGCCAAGGCGACAGAAAAATGCAACGAAGCGATTTTCGCGCAATTAAAATAACATTGTTCTATAATGTCTATCGCTTAAAGTTGGGCAGAACCTATGAGATTAACAGACTGAAAAATGAGAAAGTGATCTTGTGTTTTGCTCTTCTATTTTTTCTCTTTCTAGTCAAAACAAATGTCTCCCATAGTGGTCCACATACTCTGTCTATATCTCCATCCTTTCCTATACAATGTTGTAAATTCCCTTTAAAAATATTTTTTGGACTGCGGCAAAACATTCTATTACAGCTAGGACCCCAAAAGTATGACCACTTTTAATTAATTCACATTCCTTCGTGCGTGCAGACTATCCAATCAGAAGCCAATGATTTAGCTATCCTCGACTTCTGATTGGATAGTCTGCACGCACGAATGAATGTGAATAAATTAACAGTGGTCACACTTTTGGGTTCCTTGCTGTAATATTATTAACTATGATAACTTTTTACATTCCAGAGTGGTTGCAAGTAAGTGACCAGGTACAGGTATTGCAGTGGAAGTGCAGCGATTGTGTTTATAAGATTAGAGATTCAAATCCCTATGGGAACGTGAAAGCCTCTTCTCTCCTTTCAACTCAGGTGCATTTCTCTTGAAATGCTCTTTTAAGATGCTTGGAAGTTCCTCGCTGCCTCTCTTAGCTTTCTTGTATTCCTTTTCAATCTCTGCAGCTCTTTTCTTTATTCTGGTCTTTAAGCTTGCAACTTTGTCTTGGAACACGGGAATATCCAAGATGGCAGTGACTGCTTCCTTGGCTTGTTGACTGACTGCCTGGTGACTTTGTTTATAATCGTCTACTTCTTGACGAATTGACTGAGCGAGTTCTGAAACAGTTGAGGAATAACTCAGATACAATGTAAAAACAATGCAAATCTAGACGTCAAAGAATTATCAATCTGTTAATTTATTGACGAATCGATCAACTTATCAAGCAGAAAACAATTTGAACAACATAATATATATTTAAAAATAAAGGACTCTTTCACTGTTGGAACAAGTTACCATTAAATTGATGAAAAAAATATATAATCCGAACCAAAAGTGTGTTGAGAACAAAGTAAAATCACTTCAGTATGTTCGAAACGAAAAAACTGGGTAGAAATCTCCGCCATTTTGGGTTTCAAGTCACCCGCACGCTGCCTTTGATGATGTTTCAACATAATAGCTATAGTGGCAACCATACGTCCTGGAATACAAAATGGCGGCGGGCGGGAAATTTAATCACCAAAATATGGTTGATACTTTTATACAATGTTTCCGTACATTTGAACGTTCTTCCAATCTTACAGCACACAAGTAGCCCAAAAGTGTGACCACTTTTAATTAATTCATAATTTTTCCTGCGCGCACACTATCTAATCAAAAGCCGAGGATAGCTATCTTCGGCTTCTGATTGAATAGTCTGCACGCACGAATTCGAAGTAATGTAAATTAATTAAAAGTGGTCACACTTTTGGGCTCCTTACTGTAATTATTTCAACAAACTTTCAGTTGATACAATATTTGCAACAATTTCACGGCAATTTGTCCCAACAGTGTAGGTTTCCTTTAATGCATGCACAAAATGATAAAACATAATTTTGTATAATTTCTAAGTCGCACCACATAATTTCATTTAAAATTGTGTGGGAAGAAGGGAGGTTATATTAAAGTAGTAAATACGTTAACAGGTGTCATTCTTACCATTGACTTTGTTAACAACGGTCTGCTTAACAGTATCTCTCAGCTTGCTCTGTACTTCTTCTCTCTGTCCTGCTGGTACGTCCATATGCTGCATCACATCTTGTTTTAACTGTTTAACAACCTGCTCCAATCTTGCCAATGATTTTCTTGACTGATAGATATCCACTATTAGGGCCATTATATTGTCAACTCCTGAGAGAATAAAAAAGAAAACGCAAGGAATAATAAAAAAGGTTAAATGGTTAAATTAATTGAATCATTGCACTATTGAAATTATAATTATAACACTAGCATATGTCGTAATGGCGGTAGGACGCATACTGAGCGCTCTACCAAAAAGTCGGCGCTAAGTGCCATTATGGCTAGTTTAGATGAGATTAAGGACTTGCTAAGGAAGGAGATTGCCCCAATCAATGGAAAACTCGATAATCTTACGTCTAATTTAGAAAAATTGAAAGATGCGGTAAAATTTCTGTCCGACAAGTATGACGACCTGTTGGATCAGATTAAGTCAACGAACGAGAAAATACATCATCAAGCGATAACGATTAATAACATCAAGGAGGACACCAATGTGGCAAAGAAGCGTGCCGTCGAGGCGAAATACCAAGTCGAAGAACTTGCCCAGTATATTCGAAGAGACTGTCTGGAAATATCTGGAATCCAACCGACGAACGAATGCACTTGTGAGACCATTGTGAGCTCAGTCGGCAAAGCTATTGGCGTGCCCGTCACACGAGAGGATATATCGATTACGCACCCTATCCCGTCTTTTAATGCTGAGGCTCCGCCTAAGTTTATTGTTAAATTTACTCGGAGGGATGTGCGGAATAAGTTCTACGGTAGCCGTAAGAAGTTGGCCAGCAAGAAAGCTAAAGACCTGCCAGACCTTGAACTCGACTCCGAAGCGCGAGTATACATCTCGGAAAACCTGACACCTTCCAAGAAAAAGCTATTTGGGGATGTAAATAAAATCAAGAAGCGAAGGAAATGGAAGTTCATCTGGACCTATAATGGACGGATCTTTCTAAAGGAAGATGAAAGTACTCAGACTTTCACTTTCGACACCGAGGAAGATCTTGCAAAAATTCAAGATGGAAACCGGCATCACCTAGCAAACGAACACATGGTAGACTTATAACATCCATTGATTATACCGGTAACTCCAGGGTTGCTATGCTTCAGTATATTCCAGTATATTCGAAGTGCTACGCTTCAAGTAAGGCTAAATATAGATGTTCATTATTGCATTATAATTTTACTGTAGAACGTAGATGTTATGGCCATTAATATACAAAGTAGTAGTATGCTCTCTGAACTTCCATTCCATGACTTGGACTCAAACGAGTTCCTCAAAGCAACTGGTTCTTGGGTATATGATTGCTCGAGTCGTTTATTGGATGCAAAGGATCTTTTCCGGGACGTTATCGAGTCTCCTGAACGAGTTATTGACTCCCATGAAAAACGCGCACGACACTTTTATTGAATCGAAATATTGTACAATTAAACAAACCGCGTATTTTTTGAAAAGGTCTACTACAAGATATCCTTCTTACAACTAAGAAACTGATATCAGCAATATCGGATAATATTACGCTCAGGCTATGTGTTTTTACATACTAATTCTCAAACCTCGGCTGGCGGTGTTGGTTTGTATATCTCATTAGAAGGCGTGACCTTGAGCTCTCTACGGACGGCATAGAATCTTGCTGGGTTGAACTTATAAGAAAAAGGCAAAAGAACATTTTAATTGGATGTGTTTACAGACACCCTTCTAATGACCGCGACACTTTCTTTGAAAATTTAAAGAACAAATTAGAAAATTTAAACGACAAGGGACATGAAGTGATTGTTGTAGGAGATATGAATATTAACTTTCTTAAATACAACGATGATAACAAAACATCTGAATATCTTGACATGCTACTCAACTTGGGATTTATGCCACTGATAACCAAAGCCACCAGAATCACAGATCATACTTCAACCTTAATAGATCACATTTACACAAATACGCCCCAGAAAATACTTAAAGCAGGAATATGTTTAGCTGATGTCTCTGACCATCTAC